ACGCTGACGCTCCAGTTGCAGACACTATGATCGCGGTTGACGGTTACCAGGCCGTTGGTGAGATGTGCGGTTATCACCTAGAGGCACGAGCCACGCAGAGTGGCCAACCCGTTGTGGTCCTTTGGCGTCGGATCTGGTGGGGCAGATGACAGGGTTTAGTTCAGATCAGCTGGCTTCCTACGCTTGTAGGCAAGCTGGAAATGTAAGGAACTAAAGGTCCTTAAGTCTTACTAAGTCATTAAAATTCCTTAGGCTCAATTCAGGTAGGTTGAAATGACTGTCATATGTATACGTCTGCAAACATATTTTTATGCAAAGCCCGTGCTGCATTACTCCATTTTATATGAAATTAAAAGATTCAGGCATGGAGGTAAGTCCTGCATGCAGACGCGATTGACAATCGGTGTGCTTGCTTCTTGTATGGGCATAATCATCAAAATCAGAATAACCTTCGCTGCCTTGCTTCTAATTAAAAGAATCTAAATCCATGTAGGGCTGTAACTATTCCGTGTAGGATTTGTAAGTCTGTGGAGCATTGCAGACGTGACGCCGACATTGTCAGCGGCACCTTCTTCGAAGCAGGCGTACTGTCGTCAAGAGATCCGCCTTTTAGCAAATGTACTGCAAGTGGTTTAGCTTAATAAGGAATCTCTCTCCGCTGCGATCTTCACGTCCGGTTCCGTAGGGGGAGAATAAATTGAGAATTCAAATTGTAGGATTTTGTGTTTTGTACAGCGGAAGTGGAGAATAGTTGGGAGAAAGTTGATTATCGGACGAGCGTTGGTCTGTGCCCAAGTAGAACGACCCACTGCCACGGCAGGAAATGGCTGGATTCGTTTACCGGATCTGGCTTAATTGTGGACAAAGCAACTACGTCGGGGAAACCGGGAGATTACTCCGGACGAGAATGGCCGAACATGCAGCGCGGTGAGGAAGAAAGACGCCAACAACCCAGGTTGCAGCTTTATCAACGGGACCCGGTCATATTTTAATGTTTGACGAGCCCAAAATCCTTGCAAGAAGTGACAACCACGTGAGCCGCGAGCTGCTTGAGTCATGGTTCTCAGGCCCACAGTCCATCAACATCGCAACGATTTGGCTTTCCCATACGGTGTACTGAGATCTTTCCTGAGCAAGAGAATCAGTCACATGGGAAGGGCCGGACGCAGCAACAACTCTGATGACAGCGAGCATAATTGTCACGCAATTATCAGGCCCGCATCTGACGCTGACATGGCAATGGTGGCATTTATTGAGTCGAACGCGAAGTGTCAAGCCAGAACCGCATCAATTAAGACCCAAGCGATGGCTACAGAAGTGAACAATTATAACGCACACGCGGATGACCACTAGGGACTATAAATACCGTGCAGCCTGTGCATGTCTCCACCCTATCTGCACATGACCATGACCATGTTATCATCACCTATGATTAAGGATTCCTGAGGGAATCCGAAACGTCAATCAAGTAAAACTCTTGTTCCAGTAATCGCATCTTCTTCTGTTCTGTATCAAGTGGACAATTTCTCCGCCCCCTCCCCGAACTGAAGGAAACTTAACGCAGCCAAACAACCGTGAACTTGGTTACATGCATGTGGGCAGTACGCACGACCAAGTGCCTGCGGTCACATCAACCCCCCACAGCCACGCCCATTCTAATTGTCTTTGTAACTCAACAGGACCCGGTCACTCCTTCAAGTTGAACGACACTGAACTTATCTCATGAGGGAAGAATTGCGAGTCCTAAGATTCTCGAGTTATGATTCCCAGGCCCGCATTCAAGTAACAAGGACAATGACTTTTTGGCTTCATATGTTGTGCTGTAATTTAGACTGACGACATTGTTAGCCACAGGGGTAGGGTACAGATGATCAGAAGTCACGATGACAGCGAGTCAACTGGCCAAGTACTCATCACGCCGAGAATAAACAGCGGCGAGATAACAATCGGGGTACGGAACTGCATTAAGTACGATACCAGCGATAAGCATGACTACTAATACTTATTGTAGGCATGTACTCGGCGAGTGTCTCAGATAAGGTGTTCAGTTGAGGATCCAAAATATCCGACTAGTCGTACCTTTGAGCATAACAGCTGAGTCAATACCAATTAGCGAAAGAGTATCAATCTTTCGCCTATGTCGAAATGTTGCGTGATCTATGGCGTCTACTGTACGATTGATCTTTCCCCTATAAATGTTGCGTTTTTTCGTTGAAGATTTTATTTCTGCAAATATTCCCACCCAACGTGCCGATTTCGCCCACTAGCACACAGTGACAGTCCGCAGTAGTGAGTCGACGGCCAAACCACACAATTATTAATTTTCTACATGTTCAAATTTTAGTTGTTTTGTGCACACGTCAGAACTAGCCGCCTCATTTGTCGCTGTTTTACCATCTCTGCCAATGCACAGGAAAAATAGTAATATACTAATCGTCAACCTTCAACGATCCGTAGCAAACAAACATTGTCCATAAACGACGCAAACGCCGCCGCCTGCGTTTGGATGTTCTCTGATCTAAGAAGTTGTCTGTTTCCAAAATGGTAAACTACGATGGAAGGACCGTCGTAACTCTGACTGCAAAGCAAAATGCAAATGCGAATAAGTAATTACATCTGTCTGCCAAAACAAGGCAAGAGGACTCTGTAACCATCTTCCAATTTCGAGGTTGTCATCGCTGGGCAGCGGTCAGTGGACAGGATGAAGCGTTCCTATTTGATGATTCGTCACAGTTTTGTCCACGTGACGATGTCCGCATTGGAAACATATTAGTCTTCGCCTGAATTGGTTTCCCTCTCGTACAATTTCCAGCAGGTAAACGCACAACAGTCAATTTCGTCTGTTTCTGCTCAGTCCCTAATCGTTTTCGTCGTTCGCCACAGTCTGCTCTTGTTCCTCCTCCTGATTTTCCAAATCCTTTTTACTTCCTTTGTTATCCTCCCTCTCCTGCTCCCCTTCCCTGCTCTCCTTCTTGTCATCATCAACATCATCATCATCATCATCATCATCATCATCATCATCAT